CCGCGACGCGATGCTCACGACGTCCGCTCAACAAGTGGCGCACGGGGTCAGTGCGAAGCAGCCCTCCAGCCGCAGCCGCCCGCGCGCACGGACAACAACTCTACACGGCCTGGCCTGGCGCAGGGAAACATCCTTCAGAAACATAAGACCCTCCGCCGGCCAAACCGAAGAACTCGAGGGTATTGCTACACACACACACACGTCTCAGCTCTGAGCCTAGTCGACATGAAGCTCCACACGGCGGTTGAGGTGCTTGTGCAGCCTCGAGATCGGGTGGTGCGACTTGCAGCTCACTGGCCTCCACTGGTCAAGGGAGGAGAATCCAGCTGACCCCCCATCAATGGCGCTTACTAAACGACAGAGGGGCGTTTACTAAGCAAACCTGTCCTGTTCTATCTGTTCACTGGGTGCGTTTACTCAAAGGCTTCACTTGCGGGGATGTTTGTTATGAGAATGCTTGTTTGATCGGTCTGCTCTCTAACTGATGCCCCTACGCCTCCTCATCCCTCTCTCGCCATTACATACCAGAGTCGTACTCATAATCATCACCACCACATCGTCATCATCATCATCATCATCATCATCATCATCATCATCATCATCTTCATCATCATCAACACCATTGCCGCCATCAACGTCAGCACCACCGGCATCGTGATCGTATACGCCACCATCGTCAGCATCAACATCATCAACATCATTGTCATCATCACCGTCCTCACCACCACCATTATCATCGCCGTCCCCCATCACCATCATCGTCATCATCATCATCATCATCATCATCATCATCATCATCAGCATCATCAGCATCATCAGCATCATCAACGCCACCAGCATCATTAGCGTTGCTATGATCAGAACCATTCTCAACAATAGCACCATCCGCATCACCACCGCCATTGTCAACATCATTGTCAACATCATTGTCCTCACCACCGCCATTACTATTGCCGTCCCCAGCATCATCACCATCATCAGCATCAGCATCAGTAGGATCACGATCACCGATATCAGTATTATCACCATGACCATTGTCACGCATAACAGCATCATCAGCATCACAACAATCATCAAACTCATCAGCATCGTCATCGTCGTCAACCTCATCACCAGCATCATCGACAACAACAGCATCACCATAGTCATTACTATTGTTACCAGCACCTTCACCATCATCAGCATCATCACCGAGAACAACATCCTTATCATGAACACCACCATCATTCACCTCTTCACCATCATCAGTGTCGTCGTCGTCAACCTCATCGCCATCATCATCATCATCATCATCATCATCATCAGCATCATCATCATCATCATCAGCATCACCATCAGCACCGTCAAAAACAACTACATCCCCATCACCACCACCACCATAACAGACATGATCGTCATTGTCGTGGTCGTCGTCAACATCATCACCGCCATCATCATCACCATCGTCAACATCAACATCATCCTCATCATTACCATCGCCATCATCATCATCGACATCAACCGTCCGTCCTCATCCGTCCTCATCACCAGACCTCCTCCACCTCCCCCACCAAAATTCGCCTGACGAAAGACCCAACCATAAGCAATTGTGGATGCTGCGTTCTGAGTCCATCATTCGACGGGCCTCCCTGTGGGGCCACGAAGCGTGTGAGGGGTGTGCCGAAATGGGCGCGGAACCGCATGCGAACCCTGCCACTGGGGCCTTCGGTGGAGCTCCCTATGGGGCCACGAAGCGTGTGAGGGGTGTGCCGAAATGGGCGGCGAACCGCATGCGGACCCTGCCACTGGGGCCTTCGGTGGAGCTCTCTATCAGGCCACGAAACGTGTGAGGTGTGTGTGCCGAAATGGGCGGGGAACCGCATTCGGTGGAGCTCCCTATGGGGTCACGAAACGCGTGAGGGGTGTGCCGAAATGGACCACTGGGGCCTTCGGTGGAGCTCCCTATGGGGCCACGAAACGTGTGAGGGGTGTGCCGAAGTGAGGGGGGTGACGAGAGGAGAGAGGGGGGAGGGGGCAGCGGGAGGAGAAAGAGGAGGAGGAGGAGGAACGCGGGGCGCTGTCTCTTACAAAGGAGGACCCAACACCACAGGATGGTTGGGAAACAGACGGGGGGGACGGGAGGAGGGAGGAAGAGAGGAGAGGAGAGAGGAGAGGAGAGGAACGCGGGGACCGTCTCTTCAAAACGAACGCCCAACACCACAGGATGGTTGGGAAAAAGACGACGGAAGATATGTCTTCATTGTGGGACTCTGGGGGCCCTCACCGGTCGCGGGCGTGGTCGTCGTCTTCGCCTGCGTCGTCGTCGTCGTCGATGTCGTCGTGGCCAGCCTCGTCGTCATTGTCGCGTTCGCCGCCCTGGTCGTCGTCGTCGTCGTCGCCGTCGGCATCCTCGTCGTCGCCTTCGTGGATCTCCTGGTGGGTACATTGCGCACTACTTCAATGTCACGCCCGACCAGACCCGCCCGCCCGTCCGCCAAGGTCCGCCTGCCCGACCCGCCCATCAAGGTCCGCCCGCCCGACACGCCAGGGCCCGCCCGCCCGACATTCCCGACAGGGCCCGCCCGCCCGACCCGCCCGTCAGGGTCCGCCCGCTCGACCCGCCCGTCAAGGTCCGCCGACCCGCTCATTAGCTCCGCGGTACCGTGTTTGCAGTCGTTGTCGTCGTCGTCGTCGTCGTCGTCGTCGTCGTCTTCAGCGTCGTCGTCGTCGTCTTCGTCGGCGTCGTCGTCGTTGTCGTGTCGTACACATCGTCGTCGTCGTCGTTCCCGAGGCCACGATCTTGTATAACTTACGCAATACTCGCGTTCCCAAGGCTACGATCACTTGCAAGCTGCGCTGTAGTCGGGTCCCTCTTGCCACGATCCTTTGCCAATTACGCCATATTCGCATCCCTGGGGCCACCAGCACTCGCAAATTACGCCATATTCACGATCCCGAGGCTACGACTCCTTGTAAGTTACCTTATGTTCGGGCCCTTACGCGAGATCCCTTGACAATCACACTGTATTCGCGTCCCTGCGGCCACGACCCCTTGTAAATGATGCAATGTTCCCCGATGGCACAGCCCTGTCGCAGAGTACGCAATGCTCGTGTCCCCGAGGCCACGATACCTTGTAAATTACACCATATTCGCGGCCCCGAGTCCACGACCCCTTTGTAAATTACTAAATGCTCTCGTTCCCGAGGTCACGATCCTTAGTAAATTGAGTTGGATCAGCGTGCCCGAGGGTACGATTCCTTGCACATTTCGCCATATTCTCGTCCCTGGAACCACGATCCATTATAAATAACAAAATATTCGCGTCCCCGAGGCGATCAATCTTTTTGTAAATTACGCAATATTCGCGTCCCAGAGGCCACGATCCCCAATCAATAATCTAATATTCGCGCCCCCGAGGATACGATTCCTAGTCAATTGCGCCATACTCGCGTCCCCAAGGCCAGGGTCCTTTTGTAAGTTACGCAATGTTCGCGCCGAGACCACGACATCGAATGGATTACGCCGTGCTCGCGGGGAAGTGCGAAAAGGGCAACACAGAGATCAACAATACAATCTGGATCTAAACCTGTCCTGAAGATTTACCAACCGTCCTCGGACAAAGCTCCGATGCTGCCTCGCGACGGCGCGCGCCCAGTCCGTCATGATCGCGAGAGGGGCCAGCGGCAGAGGGCGAAGCCCCTGTGGCTGAGTAGCAAGTGTCCTGCCCCCGGACCTACAGGGGTCGAAGCGCACCAGCTGTTTGCGAAGCCGTGGCGACGAGGAGAGCCTCCGGAGGCCTGAAGGCCTCGAGCAACGAGGCTCGAGGCTCCAAGCTGACGCGAGAGGGAAGAAGAAATCACTGGAGCCCCACCGTTGCCCACCGTGGGCGACGGGGGAGGGGCCGATGCATCCCCCCCTGCGCCTATTCCCGCCGAGCGCTGCCCCCGAGAGCCGTCTGCGGAGGACAGCCCACCCCCACCCCCCACCCCCCCACTCCCGGCCTGGTGATCCAGGAGGAGGGGGAGGAGGAGGGGGAGGAGGAGGAGGAGGAGGAGGAGGAGGAGGAGGAGGAGAAGGAGGAGGAGAAGGAGGAGGAGGAGGAGGGGGAGGAAGAGGAGGGGGAGGAGGAGCCCCCTCCGTCTCCCAGAGGCAAGGGGGCGGAAGACAGACGACGCCGGGCACGGAGGACTCGGGCACGCCTGAGAGCCAGCGAGTGCAGACCCCCTGAAGTTCACGCAGAGTACAGAGAACATCGAGCCCAGACCATCGAGGTTCGAAGCTTTCTGGCCCACCTCCTGGAGCGCGCCACGGGGCGGTGCCGGAGGCGCCGCCAGGTGGCTCCCGCGCCGATGCGAAACATCCGCTCGAACGCCCGAAAGTGTGTGCTGGTGCCATGCGCTGCGCTTGCTTCCCCAAAATGCGGCCGGCGCCGCCTGGCTCGGCGGCGGAAAGCCGCGATTCCCGATGGAAACGGGACCCGTCGCTAATCCACGCCCCCCTTGATCCATGTGTGCGGTCGCCTGACTCCTGTGGAGCGATGGCGGGTAGGAAGCTGCCGTCGATCCGTGCCGCTCCAGCGCTTCTTCAGCACAGGCCAAGGCCCACGCAACCGCACGCTTCGGGGAGCCCCCCACGAAACCGCACGCTTCGGGGAGCCCCTACGAAACCGCACGCTTCGGGGAGCCCCTGATTCCTGTGGAGCGATGGCGGGTAGGAAGCTGCCGCCGATCCGTGCCGCTCCAGCGCTTCTTCAGCGCAGGCCAAGGCCCCCGAAACCGCAGTCTTCTGGGAGCCCTCTGCGTCGCAGGGCAGGGCCGCCATCCGGCGGCCGGAGAGCCCCAGCAGAGTACAGTCGGGGCGTTGACCTAAGGAAGCCTAAATAAGGAACGAGGCCCCTTTTTGCCATGAGTTAAACTTCGATTTCCCATCGGAAACATAAGGCAGACCTGAGGCAAGCTGTGACACACTTAAGGAACGCGGAGCCCCTCCCCAACCAAAAGGGTTCCTTCTTCAGGGCCCCGACGGTACAGTCCACCCGGATAAGCAGGACGCAGGATACGGACGCAAGGGCCTCGGAGGGCCACGCCGACACTTTGCGAGCGGGGCGCGGCAAGCGAAAGCGGCCAAGGATGGACCGAAGGGGGAGGATGTACGGGCAACCTTGGAAAGCCGCTCATCCTTGCTATGCGGGTTGACTGTACTAAGCGCAATCCTGCCCCTCCCTCCTGTGCTTTTGTTGTGGAGAAGACGGAGAGCGGGGAAGAGGGATACCACGAATGACCAGCACCTCCACTGGAACTGTCTGTGGGGAACATGGCGTCGAATCGCGGCGACCGTACTGCCACACCGTGCGACCGAGCACTGGCATGTTTCTGGGCGAGGGACGAGCTATCGGGCCTCTGTCGGCGAGTCATGGGCGATTCGGGGTCGATCGGTCCCCTGCACGGTTTGCCTGGGGGCCGCAGGCGACCCGACGAGGAGGAGGAGGAGGAGGAGGAGGAGGAGGAGGAGGAGGAGGAGGAGCAGGACGGGTCGCCAAGCCCTTCGGAGAACCCCCCCCCACGGTCCCCCACTGAGCTTATCCCCCCTGGCGTTACCCCCGGCCAGGCCTGGCCCTCGGGTCCTGACTCTGCTCTGCGGCGGCCGCACAGCACGCTCTGGGCACCCCCAGAGAACGCCCTCGGCGAGGCGCGGCCGCTGGAGTGAGCAGCCCGAGGCTGGACGACAGGCCGAGAACAGGCGAACACCTCCGAAAGTCTTGAACCTCGAGCCCATCTCCCCCTAACGTTGCTCCTGACCTCCTCCTCCCTCCTCCTTTGGAGAGACAGAAATACGGATACCGCTACCCTCCGGACCTCTCCCCGGGTGCGTTCTGACCAGAATTTCGAGGCGAATCCAGCGGTGGCAACGAGGGCCTCCCAGGAGGCCCAAAAAGGGGAAAACGAGGGAAGGGTAGCGATATGGGTACCTTTTCCTCCTCTGATCCTTCGGCCTCAGCCGGCGCCGCTCCACGCCCAGGGCCACGAGCGCCTCGGCAACCGCGGCCGCCCGCTGCTGGGCCACGGCGGCGGGCTCCTCGCTGTCGGCGTGCCCCTCGACCCGGACGCAGTGCCCGTCCTCCCGCAGGCACCTGGCCATCACGGCGAGGACCGCCCTCGCCTCGGGCCTCTCGGCAGGGCGCACAGGCCCATGCCCATCCGCCGTCGCTGGGCCAGGGCAGGGGGGGCGTCTGCGGCAGGAGCTCGGCCACGGGACGCCTCCCACAAGAGGCCCATCCCTGAGACACCAGGACGTCCACTGATGTCTGGCGTGGCATCGTCGCGCTCTCCACGGCAAAACCACGGGAACCCAAGCAACCCAGGGCACCCTGGAGGCAAGCAGGGTGTCTCTTGGCATGGGTCTCCACTGTACACGGCCCCATGGGTCCAGGATGGGCCTGGCCAGCGGCGGCTGAGATGTATAGACCTCGTCGCCCTACCTACCTGGCACGCCTGGAATGGGCGCAGCCATTGCGCTGCCACGAGGAACGCCGAAGAGAACGCTGCCGTTGCTCACCGTTCCCGCTCGCCGTTGCCCCCCATCGCTGCCCGAAGGCAGCACGAGAGAACGGCTCGGCGACTCCGCAGGTTGTGGTTAGCAGAGGGCGTGGTCTGCAACCCGCACCCATGATCAACCCGCACCCATGATAGAGGAGGCACCCTGGGTGGCGGACGAAGCCCTCGACGGAGCTTTCCGCCGCGCCCCGGGGAGGCCCGACGAGGACAGCGTCGTGCCCCCCCCCCCCCCCCGGGCCCCGACGGTGCCGATCGCACACCACACCCCAGCGTAGCCATACCCTTTGCAGTCGCCGAGCGGCGCCCACACACCGCAGCATACTTGGACTCCCTGCCGGGCCCGCTCCACCGCGCCACGACAAAAGGAGGAGGATGAGGAGGAGGAGGAGGAGGAGAAGGAGGAGGAGGAGGAGAAGGAGGAGGAGGAGGAAGAGGAGGCGGCACAGTTGTTCGGCTCTGCGAAGCGGAAGACATGCAACCCACGTGCACCTCACGCGGGTGTGGGCGAGGCCCGCGAGGGGGGGGGGAACGGAATCGGTATGATGAACCTCCGCCCTCGACCGAGCCATGGACAAGAGGTCCCTCGTACTCCTCCCTGCGGAGGATGGGGGGAGGAGTGAGGAGGAGGAGGAGGAGGAGGAGGAAGAGAGGAGGAGGAAGAGGAGGAGGAGGAGGAGAAGGAAAAGGAGGAGGAGGAGGAAGAGGAGGAGGACGAGGAGGAGGAGGAGGCGGAAGAAAGTGTACCCTCCATGTGGGCCGAGGATCGACGTCGCTACGGGAGACGTCGACGCGGACGTGCCGCCCGCTGAGGAAAGCTGTTCAGGGTGTTCTGCCGCCAGGGCGTGACTTGACAGCCTCGGGGCCCTCGGAAGGCGCACCTGGCCATCGCGGCGACGACCGGCCTCGCCGCCGGCCCCCTTCGGGGTGAACGCGAGGGGGGGATAGCACAGGGGGGGGGAATCGAATCAGCTCAGGTCGCCGATTTCCCTGGCGCCTCCCAGCGCTGGAGGCGCCCGTGTATCGAGAAAAGCGCCCGGCGGCGGGGCGAAACGGGCTGCACCCAGCAAATGTTGTGATTTGCCCTTCCATGTTATTCCCCCCTTTCGTCCGGCCCGACTCCGGGCACGCCAGAAACTGTTACATTCATCGTGCTGCCACGGACGACGCTGAACTTGGCGATTGTGGAACTTGTTGCCCTTAGCACGGGCGTTTGTTGCAGAGCGTGGATAAAAAAAGGCTGTGTTTCACCGCGGCGGCAAAGACCGTCTTCGCCCCCGAAGCCATTTCTGGGGGGGACCAAACGTCGCATGGGTGCACGAGGAGCACGAAAGGAACAACCCTAGCATCGGCGGCGAGCGAGGGGTGGGAGTGAGAAGGAGCAGGCCGTCTCAGATTTTTGTTCCCCTGGAAATGACCTGGCCTGGCCGCGTCGCGGGATACACCTTGCACTGTTTCCTTGGAGCGGCATGACAACCAAATGCAATGGTAACATGCATGCGCGAAGAAAGCCAGACTGAGCACATCGCGAAATCTTCTTGGCAGGGCTCCTGTTGGAGCGGCACGTAAGAACAACATTGCGATAATATTTGAATCAAATCCACAGGAGAAACGCTGATGCTACAGCTCATGAAGCTGAACTGCGGGCCGGAAGGAGGGGCCCGCTCCCTAACACTATCGGGTGCGCCAAACATTTGTGCACAGGCTATCTGCCATCTACCCGGCGCCAGAATCATACAACACTCTTTTGTTACGCCGCGGCGCGGCAGAGGCAATCCGCTCGCGTGAGTATAGCAAGACCGGGCTACGGCGTCGCGAATTGGCGCGCATGAAAGAGTTGAACAAAAATGAAGAGGGGCGGCCGCGAAGGAAGGGGGAGGGACGCGGGTGCACTCTCACGCGGCGAACCGCGGGGAGCGCGCGGGGGCGGCCAGGCTGAAGGGAAACCCCTGGCAAGACTGGAAAACACAAGGGGATCGTATGGGGGCCGCGAGCGGGGGAGGCGAGCGGCTTGCGGCCGGCGGCCCCGCACCCAGACACCGGCCAGGCGACGAAATGGGGCAGGAACGCTGGACTGGGGTATACCGCCTCCGCTTGATCCACACGTGACAGCTCTGAGACGTAAGGGGGATGCCCAATGTGATCGCATCCAAAATCTCGTTGCACACGCCGTCGAGGTCCGTGTTAAACTCCCGGTGCACATGTCGGAGTGAACGCGTTTCACGGGCGCTTGCCTTGGGAACATTCGGCGGCGCGTTTCGAACCGGGGGGGGCCCCCCCCCCAACACTCGGCGCCGTCGTTTAGAACCAAGGGGGCTCCCCTCCCCCCCACCCCTCCCCCTCCCGAAACCACCGCCACCCCCCCTCTCCCAAAGGGGTCAACCCCCCCCCCTTTCGGCGCCGGCGCCGGCGCTGGCGGCCGCCAGCAGCGCCCACGGCGGGGACGCAGCGACGATGACCAGAGGCAGCCCAAAGGGGAGGGGTCCGAACTCCCCCCTCCCCCCTTTCGCCGGAGGGGGGTTCAAACCCTCCTCCCCCCCCACCTCGCGCCAGCGCCCGCGCTGGCGGCAGCCAGCAGAGCCGGCCCGGCGCTGGCGCCAGCGACGGCGGAGACGCAGCGACGATTACCACCACTACCACCACAACCACCACTACCACCACCACCACTGCTTCAACCCACCACCACCACCAACAACAACAACAACAGCACCACACAACCACCACCACCACCATAACCACTTCCACCACTAAAACCACCACCACAACTCACCATCACCACCACCACCACCACCGCAAAAACCCACCACCAGTACCATCACCACCACCACCACTATCGACCACACCACCACCACCACCGCCACAACCACCACCAGTACCAGCAGCACAACCCACCGCCACCACCACAAACCACCACACCACCACCACCGCCACCGCCACCACCACCACCAGCACCACATTCACAAACCACCGCCGCCACAACAACCCACCACCACCACCACCACCACCACCACCACCACCACAAACCAACACGACACCACCACCACACCACCACAACCACCACCACCACAACTCACCATCACCACCACTACCACCACAAAAACCACCATCACTACTACCACCACAACAATCTACCACACCACCACCACCACAGCCACAACCACCACCACTACCAGCAACAGAACCCTCCACCACCACCACAAACCACCACACCACCACCACCACCACCTCCACTGCCACCACCACCGCCACCACCACCACCACCATAAACCACCACAAACCACAACCACACCACCACCAAACCACCACCACCACTACCACAACCAACCACCACCACCACCACCACCACCACCACCACCACAAACCACCACCACACCACCACCGAACCACCACCACCACCACCCACCGCCACAACCACCACCACCACAACAAACCACCACACCACCACCACAACCACGACCACCGCCGCCACCACCACCACCACAACCCACCACCACCACCACCACCACAACCGTCGTCCTCGTCGACGCCTTCGCCACCGCCGCCCGCCGCCGCAGGCGCCGGCGCCGGCGGCCCAGAAATGGAAATCGTCGTCCCCGCCGCCATCGCCAGCCGCCGCCGACGCACGACGCAAGCGCTGGCCCGAGGAGAAGGGAAGCAGGGGGGGAGGGGAGGGAGAGGGGGATTTCGACCCCCCCCCCTCCGTCACGGGAGGGGGGGGGATCGAACCCCACCCCCTCCATCCAGGGGGGGGGGTCCGGTTCCACTCCACCCCCTCCAAGCGACCACAGAACGCGCTCTTCCACATGTCGGATATGAACGGACTGCACAGACAGATGGTTCCTCCCTGCACGGATGTGAACGGAATGCGCCAATGCGATTGGTGGACAGAGCGTGCTCATTAAGCGGTCGGAAACTTTGATCCTAGCATCGCCAAACTCCGTAGACTTGTTTCACACCTAACAGAGAATTGGCATAGAACACAAGGTCGCTCGCCGTGCGTTCAAAAGCATGCAGCATATTCTCAGGAAGGCCCCAGGGTTCCACACAGTTATTGGTTGAATCCTAGCCCTGGCCCCACAATTTGCATCAACGCGACGGGCCCCAGCCGCATAGCGAACACAGCCATATGAAGACTTGATCGCAAATGCTGTACCCTCTTGCGCGGGCACGGCATTGGCGAGGCTTCTAAGGCCTTCTCAGAAGGCTGCGGGGCTTCTCAGAAGCCCTCTGGCCCTATGAGAAACTTTCTGTCTTCGGGGAAATCTCAAGAACTTGTCAGGAGGCTGGGGGACTTCCAAGCCCACTGAGAGTCCGCCCCTCTGGCTTCCCCCCAGGGCTGGCCGCCGATAGAAAAAGACCTGCGACACCCATTCCGGACCCGAATTACTCCTTCTTTCATCGTCTGGTGCGATGCCCAAACACCAAACACTTGCCATCGCTCTGACGCCCATTCCCCGTTGTGCCTGTTTGTTGTGCTCGATGATCTAGGATACTCCTCGATGGTCCTCGCCGAGAAAAGAACGAACACGTCCGAGCGCTGCCCAGAACAACAGAGAATTCCCAGACCGAAGACGGCCGCTGTTGGGCAGGCGGTGTGCATTTCAGGGGGCCGGTGCTTCAAGAACTCCGAGCGCACAACTGTTGATGTCTCTCTTAGTGAACAGGGGGTATGTTGACCCCTCTCCCAGGCTTCGTGGGGTTTTCGAGTGGACCAAAACTTGGGGACCCAACCCTGGAATGTACGAGGTGGGGGGGGCCTCCATCCTCGAGAGGGGTTCGCCCGAAAAGCCCCCTGGGGGTGTACCTCAGGGTCTGCCTCCTCTTCTTAGCCGCTCCACTGTTGGTCGAGAAGTCGGAGGTCGGGACAGAAACGGCGCCCGCGGAGCGCGAGGCCCTCTGGCAGAACGCAGGCGCAGAGGCAGGAGGCAATGCGAAGGGGCAGCCAGCACAGCCTTATCGTGCAAGCAGGAGCGCTGAAATGGGGAGCGGAGGGGCCGCCCAGGACAGGGTGAGCTCTGGCCACGACCATGCAGGGAGGAGTGCCGCTGGGGTGGCTTGGGGCCAGGGGCAGCGGAGCAGGAAGGAGGACGACGAGGGAAGGCGAGGCCCCTTCGCCGGGACGCCGTCGCATGTACAACTTGGCTCGCCATAGAAATGCCAAGGGCGTGTTTGTTCAGCGTTTTCAGCTCGGCGTCCTGGAAAGCTTTAATTCTGCGCTTTCAGGTCTCAAGAACAATTAAAAACGCTAAGCACATGATGCGTTGATTTAGCGATTTCAAACATGTTTAACGTGTTCGGCCTGCAAACGCGAAACGAACGCAAACATAACGCCAACAGAACAGCCCTGAAAACGCTAAAACTAACGCAGCGTTTTGTTAGCGTTTTCAGCCTGTCAAGAGCCCAAAATAGAAAACGCTAACAAAAACGCACAGGGCGCTTTCAAGGCGAACCAATATGTAGAAGACGTCCACGGGGCGGCACCGACCGCGGGAGGACGGGCACTGCTGTCGGCTGCCTCTTTCACGGGTTGGGAGGCAACTGATGGGAGGTCTTCGTGGGAGGGAGGAGGATGAGGCTCATTGAGGGGGCAATTGCGCCGGGGTAGGTCGCGGATAAAAAGGGGGTTAGCCGGAGCTGGCCGGAAGAAGCCGGACTTCGCGGGATTGAGCCGGATTGCGGACCAGGGCAAAGACCGACTTTTACCTCCCAGGAGTTGCATCCGACCGCTGGATACAGTCGGGTCGCTGAATGAGGAACTGTCATTAAGGATCGAAGCCCCTCTTTGGCTCCAAGAGCGCCAGCGTGCACGAGGAACGATCGAGGAACAACCACATCATGGCCCAAGGGAACTCGAGACCCTTTCGCACCCAACCTGTTCCGTGTTTCGGCGTCTTGACTGTATGTCAAGTCTAGAATACCTTCGTGAATGCAAGCCAATCCTTGAGCGAACTCTAGTGGCAAACCTGCCGCCACAAGCTCATCTTGGAAAGCAGAGCCAGCGACTGTCTGGACGCCAGCACATGGCAGCCGACAAATCGACGCCGAAGTCCAGGAAACGCCAAGCAACGCCAAGCAATGTCAAGCGATGCAAAGGAATGCAGAACGCTGCCAAGCAATGCCAAGCAGCAAGTCCAAGTAATTCCAAGCAGCGCAAAACAAAGCCAAGCACAGCAATGCATAGCACTGCCAAGATATGCCAAGCAATTCGTAGCACTTCGGAACTGCTCCGAATGTCAATGGAGAAAAACAGCCCCTGATTAGGGTCACGCCGAGCTCAGTTCGTTCAATGCGCTGGAAGTCCGACCCTTTCCCCAGGGCCAGCTTTTCATCCTGAGTCGTTCTGTCGACGGCCCCGGCACCTGGCGAGGGCCCCCAGAGGCCGAAATCGGCGAGCCGCCTGCGTATCGTTTGTTCATTACCCCAGGGTTCCTTTCTGAGCCCGTTCGGTGTCTGAGCCCAGTCAGCCGCCGGATGGACTTGCGACCGAGCCCATTCGGCGGCCGAACGCGCTCAAACACCGAACGGGTTCAGCAGGGAACCGTGGGGTGCGCTGGAGGTCCGAATGCCTCGTCGCCACTCTGCCCGTCCCCAATCCCAGCGGCGAGCGAGGGGGGAAGTGAGCAGCAGAAGGCCTCTTCAAAGGCGGCGGGGCTTCTCAGAAGGCCCGGGGACCCCCGAGCCTTCTGAGCAGGTCCGCCCCCTCTCGCTCCCCCCCCCCCCTAGCTCTCGCCGCCGAGACTGCCCTCGTCGCCCATCTGCACGTCCCCACCCAAAAATATGTTTAGCAAACACTTGCTTAAAACAAAAAGGATTAAAATTAAGTCGGGCCTGTCCTCCTACAGGGGAATTCTGGACGAGAAATAAAAAGCACTCAAAAAGACTCCCAACATGCTCAACAAAAAATCGTCCCCATATTATTTGTTTTAACAATTTGAGGATTCCCCCTGTAGTGTGACAGGCCCGACTTAAAACAAGGACTTAAGAACAAAATGCTCCAACGCCGGAAAATTGCTCGACAGCCCCCCGAGCCTCGGCTCCCACTGCCCCTGCTCGAAGAGGAGCCCGGGCGGGCCGGCCGCGCCCGGGGGCCCCGCGCTCCGCACCAGGAGCTCCTGGGCGGGGTGCGCTCCGCGCGAGCGGCCCCGGCCGCCGCCGCCGCCGCCGCCGCCGTCGCCGTCGCCGTCGCCGTCGCCGTCGCCGTCGCCGCCGCCGCCGTCGTCGTCGTCGTCGCCGCCGTCGTCGTCGTCGTCTTCGTCGTCGTCGTCGTGGGTTACGGTGGGGGCAGTGAACAAGGAACTCTGAGATATGGAATCCAGGGTCTGAAAGCCTCTGAAAGCCAGTGGAAAGGCAATCGTGGATCGGCCATGGGTAAGCCCGCCGCCCTCATCAGAGAAGGATCCCCCTGGGGTCTGAAACCTCCTGGGCAAGGTCCTTGACGAACGCCCCTACCGCACCACCCGCCCGAGTTAGAAGACAACCAAAAAGGCACAAACATAAACGTTGGGCGCTCCGCGCGGATTTCTTGAGCAGGGACCGACCGTCCCGGCATTCCTATAGTCCTACCACGACATGTTCTTAGAACCCAAAAATGTTCTGATAACAGAAACAATTTTCTTAGAACATAAACCGGGTGTGATAAAACAAAACAGTCACAACCAGAAATGTTCTAAGAACATTTCGTGGGAACCACAACAGGTTCTTACAAAATTGCTTGGTGGGGCTATAGGCGAGCCAGGACGCTTCGCCAACGCTTGGACTTCTCGGTTCCGCGCTGCGGCCCTCCCCCCCGCGCGCGGAGCGCGCCAAGGGGGCGGCGCCAGAGGCACCGCTGGCGGGGGCCCCTGGCGCGGATCCAAGAGCTGCGCGCGGAGCGCCAGAAGTTTGTGCGCATGCCGTGTGTTCTGCGCCCAACTCGGGCGGGTGGTGACCCACGACGAGGACGACGACGGAGGCGGCGGCGGCGACCGCGACGGCGACGACGACGGCGACGGCGACGACGACGATGGCAACGACGACGACGGCCAGGACGGCCAGGACGACGACGACGACGACGACGACGACGACGACGACGCCAGGCGGAGAGACCGGCCGCCGGCCTCCGTAGGCGTGTGTCTTCGCGCGCGCACCCGTCGGGGGCGCTGCGCGATCGGTGTGGCATCGCCTGGGATCCTCTCGTCGTTGCAGCGACGGAAGAGGAGGGGGAGGAGGAGGAGGGAGGAGGAGGACGAGAAAGATGAGGATGAGGATGAGGAGGAGGAGGAGGAGGAGGAGG